ATCCCTGGACAGATGCTGTGCTGCCTGTGGAGGGGTGAGGCCTGGCCGATTAATCCACACTCAGAGAGGCTGGCAGCTGGATTAGTGCTTCAGATGATCTTAACATCTGCAGCTSCAGGACAGCCCCAAATTTCTCAGCTGGAAGCCGGAGGTAGCAGCAAGGCTGGTAAGAGCTGTTTTGGGGGGGTTGGGGATTGAATTGCSGCTGCCAGGTAGATGGATGAGGGAGATTTTATGGGAAAGGTGGTGGTGGTGCCATTATCGTGGCATTTCCAATCCCGCCATGCAGTCCCTTGGCTGTGATGGTGATTCCCAAGGGTAAGGGGTTGCACAGAGGGAGCAAAGCACAGGAGCCCTGCAGGAAACTGGAAGGACCTTGTGGAGGAGCCATGGTGAAAATGTGTCAGCGTTGAAGATCTCGAAGCTCCTGTTTCTTGTGTTTGGAGGTGAGGTGAGGATTTCAAGGGAAATGGGAAGTCCCAGAGCTTGGGGTAAACCCGAGGGTGTGCCAGACCAGAGGCAGAGAGAGGGGAGGTGTGGCTGAGGACTCACCTCGTGGGGTTACTGTGGTTTGTCTCATGGAATGGTTTGTGTTTGAGGGGACATTAAAGATCTCATTCCAACCCCATCTCCCTGTCCAAATCCCGGCTCTCCCCTCTGCTCTGCTGACCCCAGCTGGGTTTTGTTATTCGGGGCTTTGTCACTTCCTTGCTCTGACTCTGCTTTTCTCCTGCACCAACAGTTTGTTCCTCTTCACCACAGGGGTTTATGAGCCCTTTATCTGTGGGGACCAGCAGCACAGGGGATGAGAAGAGCCCCCTGAGCAGCCATGGAGGGCTTACAGCTGCGGGTAAGGATCCCCTCCTTCACCTCCCAYCACCCTTCAAGAAATCCCATTCCATGCCTGCCCAGTGAGCGCAGGAGCTGGGAATGACCCTCTCATTATCATTGTGGGGTGACTGCGGGAGGCTGCTCGGGGTTAAGCCCAGAGAGATCCTGAGCTCCTGGCTTAGCTGCCCACATCCCCTCCCCTGGAGCAGCTCCCAGGGCTGGCTGGAGGCGCTCAGGGACCGGCCCTCTCCCGCTTAATCGCCTCCTGTTCAGATGTCAGCAGGAGATGAAGCTGCTATAAATAGATGGTGAAGCCCTCTTGGTTTCAGCTGTGATTCCCACACATGRCACAGAAGCATTAGGAAGAATTAACATCCAATCTCTCGGGCACTTTCCTGTGCAAACGCCATGCTGTCCCTGTCACTTAAGCTCCTTTCCCCGGGGGAGATCAGCAGCACTCTCTGGAGGGCCTGGATGGGCCAAATGGATGGGGGAACCCAGAGCAGGACTCCTGGGGAGATAAACCTGGAGAAGGACTTTTGGGGAGCCAAACACGGCTGGTCCCRGTGGTGACGGAGCAGCGCCCGGCTGTGGCACGGAGCAATCGCTGGGAGATGCCACGGGCTCCTGCTCCCCCCTGCCCGGGGCTGAGGCCAGCCAGGATGGGGCTGCTGAGGTGCCCACACCCCTGGACGAGGGACAGCAGCCTTTGGGACTGACACAGCTCCTGCAGAGGGTAGGTGAGGGGCTGGGGGTCCTTCTGGCTCTTTCTGAGCTGTGCCGTGACCGAGCGATCCTGGTGAGGCTGGACAGTGACCTGGGTGGTCCAYGGGGAATCCCCAATCCTTCCCCCCGTCCTAATTTCCCAAAGCTCAGAGGGGAAAAAATGTACCCTGCTGCTAAGCTGGCCCCGTGGGAAGCTGCGTGTGCTCATTCCTGCATGCGTTTGCATTCATTTGCATGTGTTTAAGGGCTCGGTGTCCCCCTCCCCCTGCCTTGCTGTGTCTGTGCTCTAAGCGGTGACGGTCACAGAGACACCGAGTGAGGGGAAAACAAGAGAAAGGTGAGAGCCCATAGGTGCTGGACTGGAAATTGTGATGGGTGCTTATAGGGATCTATCCATCTGCTTGCCTAACTGTATCCCAGATACTGGGGGAAAGTGGTATTTTCCCTGAAAGGTACTTYGGAGGGCAAAGCATTTCCTCAGGAGGACGAATATTTCTCACATTTTCTGGTATCTACTGTCCCACCAATAAAGGAGAGATCTATGTCTCTAGYTCATGGCACAGCCAGGGTTTCTTTGCATTCCCGCTGGATCACAGGCCAGAGAATGAGAAAAAGCCATTCAGAGCGTTCATGATCCTCAAGTAGCAAAATGGAGTTTAGAATGAAGGATGAGTTTGGGCTAAAAGATGAGCTCAAAGTTGGTATCTTTGTGACTTCAGTTGGTGGCCCAGTGAGTCTGGAGTCCATGAGATGAGGAATACACCACAAAATCCTGTCCTCTCCCCTTGCTCTTCGAGACTCAGGAATCAGGGCTTGTCAGTGAAGCAAGGAAAGAGGCACAAAAATGGTCAGAGGAGCTGGAGATTGGTGGAGGACTCAATGTTATTGAGATGGGCTAAATCTTAGAAAGTCACTACATGACCACTGCAGGGCAAAGAGAGCCCTGTCCCATCCCTTGCTGCAGGGAAACAGCTCCAGGTGACATCTTTGGGCACACTCTGAGCCCTGCCAGCATGGGGGGATTAGAGAGATCTCAGCACAGCCTTCTCCTGGAGTGATGAAGTCTCCTGATTGCTAAGGCTCTGCAGGAGGTCGGTATATCCAAACAAAAATGGGATTGGTGTCAGAATGGCTTTAGTTTATTTAGAAAAATGTCACAGGCTGGAATATGGCCCTGGAGTGCTTGGGSAGGCTCAGGTGTGGATGGGTCTGCAGGCACATTCTTAAGCCATCCCTGAATTTTAATTATGTTGTGGAAGAACCTGACATAAGCTGCTTTCAGAAATCCCTGTGGGAATACCTGACCAGGCTGAAGAAGGAAAAAAATTATGATATATTTCTGTTATTGTGCAGAAAGTGGAACTGCAACCTAGAATTCCAACAAAGCCCAGAAAACCCAGCTGGATCCACAGAGCCATGTGCGAGTCTGGAAGAGGCTCTGCAGATTCCCTGTCTGTGAGTGACAAGGCTCAGTTGATTTGCAGAAGCTTTTGCATGAACTATCCTGTGTCTCAGAAACGTGGGGGGGAGGGGGGAAGGGCTGTGTGGAAATCTAAAGGGAATATTTCAATCTGTCTATCCTACAAGTGAGTCCAGACAACCTGAAACAGCTTAGGAATGTGGAGCATATTGGATGCAAATGGCAGGCCATATGTTTTATAACATTAATTGCCAAACTTTCAAAAGCACCCTCCTGACCTCCTGCAGGCAGTGAAGGAGCACAGCTCAGGCTCAGGCACCTCCTCATTTGTCATCTGTTCCTTGTTTTTCATCAACATTGATCTGGTTCTCTCACCAACCTGGATGGTCTCCAGTGTTGTGAGAGCTGCACACACTCAAATATCAGCCAGTTTCCCAAAACATGGCATCTGTAAATGCCAAGCTTGCAGATGGTGCATGATGGAACGGGATGCACAGGCAAAACAGAGAAGGGTAAGGGCAGCACAGAGTGAAAAATTCCATCATTCATCTAGAAAAGCTGGATCTGCTCAGATGGTCTGGCTGGTGGCTGCCACGAACAGATGCTGGACTCTGGAAAAAAACGGGGCTGGAAAGATATCCAGGAATAAGACATGGTGGTTGAGAAGGGAGGAAGTGAGAGGTGGACCTGAGAGTCCTGCCAGGCTGGGATGGTGAGCTTCACCWGCAGGGAGGGGAGAGGGCAGGAGTGGTTGGTGCTGTACAAGAACCAGCAAGGGGAGGAGAGCTAACAGCTCACAAAACTCACTGAAAGCCAGGAGGTCATTTCTGGCTCCAGTTACCCCAGCACAGGCTGTCTGCCCAGCTCTGGTGCAGCAAAATGGTGCCAGAATTATCCCAGAATGGTTTTGATTGAAGGGACCCTAAAGTTTCCCCCATTCCAGCCACTGCCATGGGCRGGGACACCTCCACTAGAGCAGGTGAGTGCTGTCCCTGCAGCAGCTTKATTGTGCAGCACAGTGTCACTGCTGGGGCAGCCACGACACACGAACACGTCAGTACCTCAAAAAGAGCCAAAGCCGTTTATTCCAATAATTGATGCCTTAGGATTTTTAATTTCTGTATTTTCATGTATCTATATTCTTGTATTTCTCCAGTGCACAGCACTAAAGCTGCTGTTGTCCTGTCTTTAGACAAAGCAGTTSCTCTCTGAGCCTGAAATCCAAGGACACTTCACTGCCTCAGAGCCCCCAAATCTGTAAACAGAGAATTGGGGGGAGCAGGTTTGGGTTGGTTAACATCAACACCTGAAGGTGTCATTAGAGAATCTGGGCCCAATGTGTTAATGAGACAGAACTTATTAAAGGGGAAGATCTCGTGACTCGGTGTCCATTTTGGGTGTAGCCTCAGGAGGAGGCTTTGTCTGCCTTTAATGTATCTGTAGGCCTGGATTAAATTTGTCTGCTTTTATTATCTTAAGTTTGTCAGGCCTCTGATTCAGGTGAACCTTGTTTTAGGAATCAGAATCAGTCTCATTTATATACCTTTGCATGTTATCATTYGTGTTACACATTCATTGGCTGCTAAACTACAATAGATTCATTGGCTGTTACTCAACTACAGCACATCACCACTGGTCACCTACAGCACAAGCATTCAAGCAYTCAGAAAAACTCCAGGTGCAGCCTTGTTGCTGTTTTTCTCCTTCTATTGTTTAAATTTCTTAMTTCTGTTGATGCTRTGTTCTCAYRGGTAGAAATACCAGSTCTRTCACTTGTTTTCCAGGATTATGTGACTTGGTTTTCTCCTCTAGTTTACCTAAATCATTCCCTGAATCCTTCTCTGGTTAGCCAGAGGAACAGAAGGGAGCAGGGGTYTTRCAAGGGTAACAAGGCCCTTTTTTTATAAGGTTTKCCTTATCTGAACAGCACAGGGGCCCCACTCCCAGTGATACACACGGGAGGGGTGTATTCTCTCTCTCTCTCTCTGAGCCCATTCCCTTCTCCATCCCCAGCAGCCACCCAAAAGTGGGGGTTTCCTCAATCTCGCTGCCATGGAGGTGAAGTGGACCCACGTCCTGCTCGTGTTCCTGTTCCTGCTGTCCCTGGCCATGACCGGCTGCTTCCTGTGGCAGTACAGCCTCCCCAAGGCGGAGCCCAGTGAGTAGCAGTGGGGTTTCATTTTGGTCACCATGAGTAGCAGTGGGTTTTGGTCACCGTGAGTAACAGTGGGGTTTCATTTTGTTCACCATGAGTAGCAGTGGGTTTTCATTTTGGTCACCGTGAGTAGCAGTGGGGTTTCATTTTGGTCACCGTGTGGCACAGAGATGTGGAAGACTGACAAAAGCTTCCTTCCCATTTCTCCCCAAAGAGAACTTCCCCACCCACGGATTTCCCTGGACAGTGTTACAGTTTTGTCCTTTCTAATGCAAGGCCACAGAGGAGGTGACAGCTGGGTTGATGGAGGTGCCACATCACTCTGCTGGTGTCCAGTGAAGCTCCATCCTYCTRGGCTAGCCTTGGTTAACTRCTAAGAAGGCACTACTAGATCTTTRTTTTAGATTCTTTATCTTTCYTTTKTTTTCTGTTGTAAAAGTTACWMCAGTTTAGAACTGGTTTTGTTTCACAGCTGACCGTGTGCTTCAGCTTGTGGGTTTCCTTCCTTTCCTGTTCTAATATTAGACAGTTGCACTGCCTTAAGCCCCCTGGTTCACCACAGATTCCTGGAATCACAGAATCCCATAATGGTTTTAGCTGGAGGGACCTTAAAGCCCATCCCATTCCACCCCCTGCCATGGGCAGGGAAAACTTTCCACTGTCCCAGGGTGCCCCAAGCCCCATCCAGCCTGGCCTTGGGCACTGCCAGGGATCCAGGGGCAGCCACAGCTTCTCTGGGCACCCTGTGCCAGGGCCTCCCCACCCTCACAGGGAACAATTCCTTCCCAATATCCCATCTATCCCTGCCCTCTGGCAGTGGGAAGCCRTTSCCTGTGTCCTGTCCCTCCATCCCTTGTCCCCAGTCCCTCTCCAGCTCTCCTGGAGCCTCTTTAGGCCCTGGAAAGGGCTCTGAGCTCTCCCTGGAGCCTTCTCTTCTCCAGGTGAGCACCCCCAGCTCTCCCAGCCTGGCTCTGGAGGGTCTCCAGCCCTTGGAGCATCTCCGTGACCTCCTCTGTTGATTGTCACAAACTCAACCAATCCTCCCAAGACACTGCATGTGCTAGAATTAAATAAGCACAGTKTCAATGGATCTGAGCTTTAGGTAGCTGAAAGGTGGCATAAAATCCACGGTGAAAGGCCAGAGGCATTTCAGAGACCAAGGTCTGAAATGGTTTCAAACCCAAAGTTTTTATCACAGAGTACCAGGCTGCCTGTCAGCTCCTGCAGGCATCCCTGCTCATCTCCAAGATTTCCCAGTACCATTTCTCATCTCACCCCTATTTCTGATGCTTCATGTTCACCTGGTAAACCAGAAGATGGCATTTTGTTCCCAGATGACAGAGGTAGCTGTGTTTATGAGCTGCAGATGGGAAAACAATGCCTCTGAGAAAGGGAGTTCCCATCTCTCTTCGAGTTTAAAGATCTTTGCTGACCACAAAAATTTAAGCTGTCTGTGGGATATACAGGATGCAGCTGATTCAGGAGACAATGAATGGAGCAGCTGTGCAGCCCACCAAGTGTCGTTAGTGCTGGATGTCAGGTGGCACTCGCACTTCCCAATGTCCCGTACAATACATTGCCTTGTCATCACTATTTTCTCCTTCTATTTTTCCCTTTTGCCTTCTCCTTTGTCCTTTCTCTTTCTTTCTTTCTTTCTTTCTTTCTTTCTTTCTTTCTTTCTTTCTTTCTTTCTTTCTTTCTTTCTTTCTTTCTTTCTTTCTTTCTTTCTTTCT